GGTACCGGGGATCAAACTCAGGACCTTGTGCTTCCGAGACACCACTGAGCTAAATCTCCAGCCCTAATTTTGCTATTATGGTATATATTGTACTCTGATTCACAAGATCAGGTGAACTCTAAGCTCCCAGCTCTAAAGGTACAGATGAATCCTTCTGCTCGTATATTCATCCATTTCATTTTTTCTATTATCTATTACTATAATCAACAAACTATTAAATCTCTCCTCCTACCCCATAACAGTAAGCATAATGAATCAATTTCACACATGTATACATTGATACTAGTCAACAGGTACATTGTCTACTTACTGTGCTCCAGCTAGGGCTTTAAGTGGTAACAGGGTTAAATATATCAACTAGGGCCTTTTCCAATTCAAATGATAGAAAATTCAATCCAAACTGACTTCTGCTAAAAGAAAACAAATTTACTAATATGACTTGAGAGTTCAAAGATAGATGTTGCTCCAGGAACAGCTTGATCCATGCTCAAATGTTTTCAGCAACCTGTTCCTGTCTGTCTGTCTGTATCTCATCTACTTTCTCTGTTGGCTCATTCTCCTGCAGACTCTTGCCCTATAGTAGCAGTTTACATTTTTCCATGTTCATGTACAAAGAACAGAGAAAGATCTCTGGCTCTTACACAAGTCCCAAGTAGTTGCTTTGGCTACTTGGGGTGTAGACTGACCCATGGAAAAATGAACTAGTATAATCTCTGGTACAAATGAGTGAGGTCTAGATAGTATTTGTGTGATGATTCATCTCTCATGACACACCTGGTTCCTAAAACCATGACCTCATGGGACTACTTTGCCAAGTCTACCCTGAGCCTTTTCTTTCTTAGGCTTGTCCTCCAAGTTTCAGTTCCCGGTTTCTTGTTTCTCCTTCAAGAACCTCTAATCATTCTGTTTCTCTCTCCTCTGTTTATGCCTATTGAGATCCATTTCCCAATTTCAGGGAAATCCTTTTCTCTTTGAAGCTTCTTTAGGATACCTATGCTGTGTCTTAGAACCCTTTTCCTTCATAATTTTGGATTTTACAAAACAAAGCTGGAGGCCTGGGATTTAGCTTTAGCTCAGTGGTTCTGCCGCCTGGCTCGCATGTGCAAGGACCCAGGTTCGATCCCCGATACCAAAAAAGAAAAAAAAAAAAAAGAGCAAACAAAGCTGGAAATATTTTGCCTCTTCCTGGGACAGTGACACCCAGAAGAAGTAGGGAGGGAGACAAACAATGGAAAATGTACAGAAAAGAAAAATATAAACATAATTTATATTTCAAAATATTACCCCAAGGAGTCACATACATTACTATTTCAAATTGGTAATACAGAAAAATTCTTTTCTTTCTCTTTTTCTTTTAAGATCTGAGGAGGCAGAGACCACTGGCAAATAAGCTGGTGACTGAGTGGGGCTCATGGAAGATGTGTAGTGTAAATTAAGCCTTGACAGGTATTATATGCCACCCTTGTCATTAGCATAGAATTTATGTCCCTGTCTCAGCTAAGTATTTGTCCTGTATGTGCAGCAAAGTTGTATTTTGTGTTTGTAATTTTCAATTATGCCTATAGAAAATTGATTTTAAAAAATGTATTAGGTTTCTTTCTGCTTTTCTCTACTATTTAGCACTTAAAAGTGGCACATTTAAAAAAGGAATTTTTAGCAAAAGAAATTCAAGGAACAATTAGATTTTCTGTGTATGCCACCTCAATGGGATGCATGAATTCTGATTCCAACAAGAAGAGAAACTCTTCTAAGTATCCAACATAGGAAGAATTTGAGTAAATTTTAAAACAGACAAAAGAAGAGCCGAAGAAGCAAAAAAGGGATCTGTAATTTTGCACAGGATGCAGCCTCCTAAACTACAGTACAAATGGAAGAGGAGCCTGTTACTGGAGTCTGGGGTCAGGGGTCAGGGGTCAGGGGTCATTTGGCAGGAGCTGGAGCACAGGAGAGGGTCTGGGACTACTCTGGCTTTTCCTATTCTCCAGTTTTCCATGTTCCTGCTCCTGCTTCCCTTTGGGCAGGCAACTCCCAAGGAAACCTTGGAAAAGCAAACTTCAGGGATACGTAGTTTGTCATATAAACCAGAGGTGGGAAAAAGAGCCAGGACCAAACCCAAGGGCAAGCAGGCCCATGATCCTGAACCCTCACAGGAGATTTTAAAATATTGTATTTATTATAACTAATCCTTATTTGATGTTGTTTATTTATCAACAAGGTTGTTTGCAGTGGTGTCCATCAATAGTATACTCGAGGAATTATCAGAAAAATCAGGTCCACCTTATCAGAAGGCCTAATGATGTACACCTCTCCATATTTAGAACTGATGTTTTGGAGTTTTGCTGAATGTAGTCAACCTTGTTTTTAAGTGTACTGTCCACCTGAATTTCTTGGCCTTTTAAATGAAGAAAGTTCCTAGCTCTGTAACTTGGGTGGTCTCTTTTCTTTCATTTGGAATAATAAGAATCTTCATCACTTTTTTTGTTAACCTTCTATTTATCCATTTGATGGTTGCGAAGATTTGCTTATACTATAACTTCAGTGATATTTTCCAAAATGAATTTTCATTTCAATCACCAAAACTATACTCTCAGGATATGGCAAATATTTGTGCTCATTCCTCTAAAGCCTCACACTGGCTGGCACCACTCTCTAAATATAGATCAGGATTAACTGAGTAATAAGGCAAGAGTGCACAGTAGTTTCTTTAATAAATTCTTCAATACTGTTGTTGTAGAGGAGTCTTTTGAAGGATTTAACCTCAGGTAGACAGAAACTTTGGAAATATTGGGAAATGTCCCCATTCTAAAACATTCACTATGTTAGGAAAATTGTAACAAGATTTATGCTATCAAGGATAGCCAAGTACAAGATTTTCCATATTTTCATTCTTCTATTTCACAAATTTCAGCATGATATTTTGTTTTAATTTTGAGGAAAATGATTGTTTCACTGTATTTCAACCAGTCCCCAGAACTAAGCTTTTTCTCTTCCTTCCTTTTAAAATTAGGCATGTTTCAAATTTACCCAGGACATTCATTCTATCAAGTTTTTAAGGACAGTGATGGTGTAAAAAATGTGTAAGAAGTAAAAAAGCTTTACTTTAAAAGCACACAAGAAGCTAGATGTTTCAAGAAAGTGGCAGTGCAAGAAAAATACCTTTTATAAGAAAGAACTTTAAGGCAAAGTTAGAGGCATCAAACATTTTGTGGGGAAAGGAGACAGATGTGCTTTTGGAACTGGAAAAATATTGGTTAACTTTTAGTTGTGATCACACTTTGGTGGTGTCTATGTGAAGCAAATGTTTTGGCTCTAAACTTGTTTCTGCCATTTTTATGTTTTCTTCCTTCACCCACTTGAAGACAGGAGAATAAGGCACATTCTCACTATCTGATGAAGGTCAACCAGAAAACTCTTGGGTCTCAGTACTGCCACTCATTGAGAAACAATTCAGGGTCCTTCAACTGAAAGATTCCTCTTACAGAACCTACAAGTCACAAATGGGGACAGTGCTGGAGAATGTGGCCCCAGTGTATATGCAACCTACAATCCATTTTTCATATGAGAAAGTAGTATTGGAACAGGTCTACGACATTATTGGACTGTAAATATGTCTATATAATATAAATGAAGTAATAGTGACCAGTATTTTTTTCCCCTTAAAGTAGTTTTAATGGTATGCTCCTATTCATTCTTTTTCTGAAGTAGCCCTAATGTATTTTCTTTCTTTGGAAAAATATAAAAAGAAATCACCACATGTCAGAAGACTGAAATATTCTACATTTGTTACCCTTTTCCTATGACACTGGGTGTTCACATTAACTTAATATAACTTTATACTGAACACAATGATATCCTTTAGTTTTCAAGAAAGTTAAGAACCAATCTTTAATTTTAAAGATGAGAAAAGCAAGGCAGAGAGAGCTCTCCAAAGTGACACAGAAAAGTTCAATGAAGAGATAATTAAAACTTAAATTTCCTGGCCTTCCATCTCCGAGCCCAGTGAACCTTCCCCTATACCACTTTGACACGATTGTGATCTGAGACCCATTTCCTCAGCCCCTTTAACTCACTCTATGCATGCCAGATCACTTCAACATCTTGCTTACACCTGTAAATTTTCTATATATCAGCACCCCAGAAAATATGTCATTTAGATGTCTGAGACATTTTGCTAAGGAAGAAAAATTGTCTTAATTATCTATTAATTGATAGTCCCGGTAAAACACAGGCAACCTAAAGGACAGGGAAGTCTTCGAGTGCATAACAGAACTGCCAGAGGAAGAAATTAGCAATGGAAGTCTCCACAAAAATATTTACCTATAGAGAAAGCCTCTTTCAGTGACAGTCTTGTTAAAGTCCTGAACATCGAAAGATGGTAAGTCTTTTGGAAAATTAAAATACACTACGTCCAAGGCTAACGTAACATGCAAAAAGCAATGGAGCTGAGCGCCTCAGTCCTGTAAAGCTGATCTCCTGAAACAACTCCTCAAATTAAAACATTCCTCATCTTTGTTTGCATTTAAAATGAAGATTTTTGTTTTTGTTTTTCATTGACTACTTAGGGCCACAAAAAGCACTCTCCACAAAAAGCCCTTTCGGCCTGTCCTACAAGGGTGTGGGGAAGCAGAGGAAGCACCTTAAGTCAACTTGGGGGGAACTCGCCAACAAGTAGCCTCCGTCCCCACGGGCTGGAGACAGCCGCCTCCCGCGCCCCGAAGGGTGCGATCCGCCTGGACCCAGGCTCTGGGCAGCAGGTCGGCTCGAGGTGCTCCTTCCCCGCGAGCGGCGCCCCACGTGCGGCCGACTGGGCAGAGGGGAACCGGCCCGGGCAGGCGCGGGCGCGGGCGGGGAGCAGGAGGAGGTGTCGGAGGCGGGTGGTTTTATTGTTTCCTCTCGCCCTCCTCCTCCCGCGCACGGCCCGGCCCGGCGTCACTGGAAAGCAGCCCGGGCCTCCCGGCGGTGGCGGCGAGTTATTTATAGAGCGGGCTGCGCGCGCGTCACGGAGCCCGGCCCGGCTGACGGGGCCGCTGACGCGCTTGGCCACCCGGCCGAGTCCGCGGGGCTGCGCGCCGGCCGGCGACAATGAGCTTCTGTGTGTGCAGCTGCCGCGGCCGCCGGAGGCCAGAGGAGGGGGGCGGGCAGCCGGTCCCTGACCCTCGCCCCCGCTGGCCACGGCACCCCGAAAGGTAACCGGCCTCTTCTGCCCCTGGCCAGGCCTCGGGGGCTTTTTTGGGGGGGGGCCCGATTTTATCAGTAAGTCCCTCCGGCCCCAGCCTCCGCTTCCACTTTCTCGGCTTCCCTTTCTTATCTCTGCCCCAACTTGGAGAGAGAGGGGGGATCGCCCCACTTCGTGCGTCCCGGGGAGCCCACCCCGCACCAGGCGCGCCCAGCGCGGGACGCGGCGAGCGAGGGGCCGGAGCGCCGTGCAGGTAAAGTACCCCGGACCTGGAGCGGGGTCTTTGTTTGGGGCGAAGGGAGGGGAGCAGGGCGGGTGAGAACTCCGAGCAGCCCTTCCGGGACGCCCGTCCCCTCCTCCGCCCCCTCTGCCTGCGCGCGGGAGCCAATCTGGGTGTGTATCGCGCGGAGCCGAAGAGAAACTTCTGCGTGACTGAGTAGACGAGGCTCCTCCCTGGAGGCCGCGGAGCGGGACCCCCTTTCCGCCCGCCCCCCAGCCCCTCCCTGCCCCGCCCCCACCGCCGTCCCACCGCCGTCCCGCCGCCGTCCCGCCGCCGCCGCGGACCGGAGCTCCCCACTTCCTCCGGTGGGCTCAGTCCTCGGATGCCCCCGCCCCGCGAGAGGAGGGGCCGGCGAGGATTTTAGGGACTTCCTAGGATGCGGAGGCCGGCTCTGTACCGTACGCTTCCAGCTGCCCGGGGCTGGGGAAGCTTGCTCCGGAGCCCCTCGCACGTGGCAGGCAGGCAGAGGACTTGCTGTGCCTTCTAGGAAATTACAGTCGATTTGTAATGCACTTTTGCTAATTGGGAGTTCAAAATTAAACTTTAATAAAGCATTTGTGTCGTCTCGTCTAATTGTGAAAGCTTCCATTCGTCCTGGTAGATAGACTCTTAAGGCTTAAGTTAATGGCACTAAACTAGACTCCCCCTCACCCCCACCCCAAGCACAATACCGTCAGCCTTCGTTGGCGCAGCTGGATTTCCGTAAGGTACAGATGTTGCTAATGGCAGTTTAAGCACGGATGGGCAGATAGCATACGGAATGCAACATGTTGCCATATGGTTCCTTTAGCCTTTCACCTCCAGGGATATCAATCACGTATATTCTGGGAGGAACTTAATGACTCTCTGAACAGCAAAATGAATTACCTGGTACAATTTATATCCCTTGACCTGGTACGTTATAACAACAGGAAGATAGCATCTCACAATTTCTGTGGTATAAATTGAGTTACAGAGCTACATTTCAAATTCTATAACATCTATTTGTAGTTTGAGAGGCCCTGTCAAATCAAGTAAAGTCTGTTTCTGCATTGCCTTTCCTCTCCCCCTCCCACCTCTAGACGATGCACAATTTATAAAGTTTAACAAAACTGTTGTCTGGGAAATTGCCAATCAAGGACTAGTCAATGAGTGTATAGAAAATATGATTTCCAGAGCTAGTTAATTAAGAATTAGCAATCTTAAGGTACACCATGTTTCTAAGCCCTGAAAATTAAAGGACTCCTAGGGGAATGTTCTCTACTAGTTGTTTCAATATAGCTCCTAAATCTATTCATTATTTGAAATTCTTCATAAAAAAAAAAACAAACCTCTAGCTGTGCCTAAACTTTGGAAGTTAAGGAAAACAATTCTAGGAAATATGAACTATAAGAAATCTAAGTAGGATCTCAGCAAGGCAACTTCACTTAACCCCCCCCCCCATGCACGCACTATTTGTGCATTTTAACTTGAATCGTGTATGTGGTGGTATTGGTAGTTTGTATTTTCCTCGCAACATGTCAACATAGTGACACCATGATGAAGTTGCTACTTAGATCCAGGTGGAATTATTTTTTAAAATCCAGGTGATTAATAAAAATGTTTCTTTCAATTGATTGTCCCTAACCTCAGACTAGAAATATGGTTGTCTTTTACTGTATCCTTTTTCATTCAATAAAATAGATCACTTTGAAAAGCAAGCAATAACTTAAGGAAACATAAGTAAAATAGCATTATAATTTTTTAGATTCCAGTTTTACTTTCACCTATAAAAGGATATCTGAAAGCTAGAGACATACTGTCTTTTAAAATATCTTGCTTCCAGCAATATATAGGCCACATTTATTTATGTGAACTGAGACTGTAAGCTAGGAAAATACATAAAATAGATATGAACAGTCTAAAAAAATCATTACTTTTGGTCATACAGGTATTAGAAAGTGTTAATATTCTGAAAGTTTGTCTATACATCTGTCCTTTCTGAATCATTTTGAAATTACAAGATAATGTTTCTCCTCTCTTCTCCCTCTTTTGTGATGGCTGGTGATTTGTAACATGGTACTTAAGTTGGTCTATCATTTTGATAATCATTACTAAATATGATCTTTTGTGTATGCATATAGCAAAAAATAAAAAAACCTTATACAGAACAAACTAAGGTTTACTTAAGTTAATCAGGATAACCTTGACTCAGGTTAACTTAAGATAAATCTAAGTGGCGGCAAGCATCTTTTCTGGGGCTGCTTTTCATAATCTTTTAATAGCCGAGATTTTATTTCTCTGTGTAGCATCAGCATTTGATGAGTTTTAACCATAATCAGTAGTAAGCTTGTAAATAGTGACTCTCCATGATTTGTAAATAGGCAGTGAGTGTGGGTGCCTTTAGTTAGTCACATAGAACTTGTATTATGAAGCTGTTGTTTCATGGACAGATACTGCAGCCTTTTGCCAAGCCCAGTGATTGTTAAAGTGTTCCCCCTTCAAAAGCTGGGCCAAAAGTCCTGCTGTGCTTCATTTCAGAATTCAAGTCTATTAGTAAATAAAATCCCAAGCAGCACTATTTGCTTTTCCTCAAGTTATAATATTTCATATGTTTCATGAATAATTTCAGGCCCCTTTGTATTTATAAACTGTATATAAATACCATATAGCGCCTGCATGACAACCAACGCAAGATATGGACCTTGCAGCATGACTTATATTTGAAACGAAGATTTGATGTATGTTTATTGTTACTGTAAATGAGGTAGGTGACTGGCTGCTAAGGGAACCCTATAGCCAGAAAGTACTAGAGTTCTTATTGTCTAGTAGAAGATCACTTTCTATGTGTTTTAGTTCTCAACTTTACTTGCCTCTTTCAGTATTGCCCTTACATCCTGCTAAAATGAGAATTTGGTTGGACAGGTAAACTTCTGAAAATATGTTTATGTTGCCCAAGAAGATTTTTGCCAGTGTTTTTGTTGTCTACTGATTTAGGGCCCATATCTTAAGCTGGCATACTTATTCCAATTGAAAATGAAGAAAGACCACCAGAACTAGATATATTCCTCATGCGAAGTAATTTTCATTGTGATATAATCTCTGGAGCATTCTCATTTTTACTGATGAATAAATTTAAAATCTTTAAGATAGGCAAGATTTATGTTTTTCTCAAGGTAACATGGGACAACTTATGAATAAGCATTTGGCCTCTGAAAGAACTCTCATTCCAATGAGTAGAGTTGAGGAGATCCCAGGAAGGACTATAGTTCCAATGGACTTTCCCTGTTTGCTTTTCAAATTCAAAGCTCATGTTGTTGCATTGGAAACTTGTTTGTCTCTTTTATAAGCATTTCATTTCAAAATTTAAAAAAAGCCTGTCAGTCTGTAAATATTTAACCAGCCAAGCAGGAAACAGTCTTTTATTCTCCGGTTTTGCAGCTTTGTTTTTATCTAGGTTAGTATGAGTGCCATGTAAATACCACATAAAATTTTGACTTTGATTGTCCTTACTTTAACTGAAGATTGACAGGGGCTGTTTAATTAATCTTGTTCTCTTTTATGTTCTGTATTCAGATTCTGAAATACAGTATTTTTATACATTTATAAGATTGTGTTTGCATTTATTTAATTTACGTGTCTTTTTTAAAAGCATGTAGCCTTGAATGTTTGTTCTACTTTTTTTTTCCACATCATTACTCTGGTACTGCTTGATGTAACTTGATTAGCTCCCTCCCCAGTCATGATTGGTAATTAAAATAGGCATTAAAATTAGTCACTTAGCAATTTTGCTGTTCAATTGGCAATTAAATTACTTAATTGCAATTAAAGTCCTAATTTTAATTGGCAAAATGATAGATGTAGATTTAAGATAATATGTATAAATACTTTAATAAGTGTCTATATAAGGATTACTTAATTACTCAACTTCAAGTTTATGCTGTTAACTTTAGAACTTTTAAGTGAGCAATGAAATTTATATTACGTCTATTCAAAGGATATGGTAATTAGATTTATTACTTATCACTATAAGGGTCCTTGCTATAAGTTACTTTTGTAGTGTTAAAGTTGTTGTAGACTTGACAATTGCAGAATTATGATGAGGACAAGGATATGTATGTCTGTTATAATATATCAATACTTTATTTTCATGTTTCATTAAATTGAGAGGTTCCTATCCAGTTTGAGGAAAAAAATAAAAATGGTTGTTTTGTCATTAAATTAGAACAAAAGCTAGCTAGCTGAGATTTACATATAACAGCTGTAGCGAACTTTATATGTTTTATCTATATATTAAATACTATCTAATAGTGTTAGGGTTACTAACATTACTAGCTACTTTTAGAATTTCAGGTGTCTGATATTTTGTTAGTATACATAGCATCTTATTTTATTTAAAATGCATTTTTAAGGCTTTCTACATTTTGTTTACTGAAAAAATTAGCAATGAAATATAAAACCAAAGTTATCCTTCTTTGCCTAATAAAAAGTAATCGTTACATAGGAAAATATAAAATGGTTAATTTAAAAACAAATATTAGGAAATGGCCACTGTGAGTCAAGTATTAATGAAAAGATGAAAGATTTTTATTATGCAAAATACTTTTTGAGCGCATGAGGTTTACCATATGTTCAGTTTTATAATTTTAATTTATAAGTAGACGCTTCTAGAAAAGAGTACTGTTTACTTTTGCACATATTTACACATTTCTAGAACAGAGTTCTGAATCAAAGTAAGAAATGATTTATAAAGCCATTCCATTAAATGGTTTTTGGTGAAAAATAAGCTTATAAAACTGAATAAAAGCCACAACTACCCAGAATGTATCAAGGAAGCAGTTGACTTACTCTCTAAGCAACCTATGAGGAATGAGATATATGGTTCATTAATATCCTGTCAGTGGGAATGAAATGGCAAAAGCAAAACAAAAACAGCTGTATTTTGAAAGATTTTTTTTCAAAGTGAAAATTTCTTTTCACTAATGTAAAAGTGCCTGCCAAATGGCAGTGAATGT